CAGCCCTTCCAGCCCTGACAGCTCCGCTCTGGCTGGCCAGAAGTGATTACCAGATTACTTGTATTAAAACCCAATTAAGACGTGTGCCAGTAAACGCAGCGCGGTTATTGGATTTGGCGATTTCAGCTGCTGCAGGTTGCTGCAATCCAGTCGCACTATTTCAGCAGATTCAGCTCTGCAGGGCGCAGTGAGGACGTTCTGCGTTAGGAACCTGACTGTGCTGAAAGGATAAATAACCTTTTAATGCCTCTGCTTTGTCAAGGCCTGATCCCCGCTCCTGGGTGGACGGACGCTGCCCACAGGTCCTTGCGTATTCATTTATAAGCTTTAAAGCCCAGAGGACGACGGACAGGTTACATCAGCTTTTCCTTCTGCTGGTCGTAGCTGCCTGTGGATTGTGAGGTGCCCGGGGCAGGGGCCTCTCAGTGCACCTATTTCCAGAGCCTTGTGGATGCCCCTGGATTAGCAGTGCATTTTTACAGAAGAGAAGGAAGCTTTTCTGTCATCTGTAGGCCACGCAGTGCCAGTCCAGCTTCCTGTTGTCGAATGTGGTGGAAGTTCACTCTGTTGGGTGGGTTTCGCCTTGGTGCCGAAGCTCTGCTGCGTGCCTCATGTTTCACATAGTTTGTGTAGAGCCTGGCAATGGTTCTCTCCCTGTACTTGTCTAAAAGTTACAAAACATACCTGTCCCTTTCCATGTAGTTTCTGGACAGGCTAGGGTCTAGCCTAATATTATATATCCAGATGTTACTGCTGTGCAAACTGAGAGATGTGCTCTTCTGCGGGCTGGGGCACGAGCGGCACAAAGTAGCACCGGAGCTTGGAGCCTTTCTAGACAAAAGGCTGCGTATGAGTTTCAAGGGTTGAGGATTAGGATGAAACACTTACCTTGAAGCATTCATTACAGATTACATTCATTACAGATTACAGATGCCTCAGTTTTGTTTTCCTTCTGTGGAATCACTTGTACTTGTCTCAGAAAGCAGCCTCTTGTCTACCTCCATACAGAAATAAGATTTTTGGTTTGGAATGGTTACTGGCAAATTTAAAGTGTATTATTATCATTACAGAATGGAAGCTACTTCCTCAGTGTCACGTTATCCTGTAATTAGTCCAAATGTAACTCTTTAAACATGTTACGTTTCTTAAACTTGTGCCTTGAAGAGGCACGACAGAATTTGGCGTTGGTTCCTACCCTGCAGCGCTCCCAGGCCAAGGAGAAGCAGTTACTTGACATCCCACTTGGGAGGCTCTTGCCACTTTGGTGGAAAAATTAACTAATGTGAAACTGAGGGCGAGCTTAGGGAAGGAGGGAGGGTCGCTCAGATGCTCAGGACGTTTGCCTGGTCGGTGATGTTGCCGAAGCGAACCTGGTGACTGCGCAGCCTCATTCAGTCGTATTAGCGAAACGTGCAGAAGGTTCTGTCACCCAGTTGTAAAAATGATGGCAGGCATCGATGTGCAGTTGTAACATATGGGAAGTACAGTGAGTGTGGGTGGAGCTGTTCATTTCTCATCTTGAATCATTTACGAGATCAGCAGGCAGGCCAGATACAATGCATATGGGAATGTGTGGCTGTGCTGCACATGTCACACGTAATAGCAGATATTGTGAGAGGGCCCAGAGCCTGTCCTCTAGAGCTGAATGCACTGGAGCAGGCTGGTAGTCCCAGAGTTCAGACCAAGGGCTGGCTTGGCAGCAGTTATGGGAGAACAGACTGGTAGACAGCATTTGGGAATTCACGGATTGAGATCTGTACTGACTACATCTACTCCCTCTTTATTCATCATGACCCAAAATTGTAGAAGGGAACTTTATTAACCCTGTACTCAAGCGCTAGAGATAAATGCAGATGATAGAAGTCAAGTTGTGGCCTGCTGGGAAAACCCAGTTCAGTCTCTGTGTCATCCTTTTACCTTTGTTCAAGATGACAGATCAAATGTAACACGGTGGGTGGAAAAGTTACAAAACAAAAAAGCATAATTGAGTAATATTTCAATAATTAAGGACTTTTCTATTTACAATGGCTTATGTGAATTACACTTTACATGATCAAATAGTATATACCGCTTTACAATAGAGAGCACTAAGGCTCATACCCAGTAATGTTTTTGAAATTTGCATGGGCTGCCTTGTGAGTGTCTAGTAGAACGCGTTGTTTTGATGTAAAATTTATATGAGCTGGAAATGATTTCTGTCTGTGTGCCAGAACTGGTGTATGCTCCTGCACTGAAATGGTGGCTCTTCAACTGGAACCTTCCCCTCACAAAAGAAGAGATGCATCCAGGAAAGGCCTTCTCCTCGTGGGCTTCATTAGTGCTATTTGCTCTTGGTTCCAGAACGGGTCTTACCTTACTAATGGACAAAACTCATTGTGCTGCTGCAAAGATGTTGGTCGTGGGTCTTAGCTATTATGTCCTTAGCTGTCAGTAACACTAATTTTGTGCAAACAGGTCTCTCAAAGACCATGGAACTGCTTTTAAAACAGACCAGCATAAGGGAAATGTATTGACTGTATATCAAGTTCAGCAGAAATTTAAATTCCAAGGATCTCCATTCAGACTGTTGTTGAGCCAGGTTTTTGTACTATCAGAGAACCTCAAGCAAAGAATTTTTCAAAGCCTCAGACCTTTAAATTGCATAGGACAGCACTGAGTGCTTTCCTTGGTCTGTCTGAAGACAACACTTTTTACGCTTACACCTCCCTACCAGTACTGTTAAAAAGCAGTAAGTTCTCTGTAAAAAGGACTAGAAAACAATCTTTATTACAAATAAAGGAAGTTGAGTAAGATTACATATCATCTTCAAGTTAAACCTACGGCAAAGTAGTAAGCAGAACTCTGATCTCCAGTCTGAAGTCCTACTGCATTGCCTTCAGCAAACAATACTATTCTTCTTGCAGTGGAAGCCATCTAATGCTCTTGGATGAACAACTGCTTTTTAAAACAAAACAAAACCAGTACGGTGGGGGGGGGGAGGAGTTTAGAGGGAGGGGTTGGTTTTTTGTTTTTGTTTTTTGATTTTTTTTGAATTTCCACAGCCCTGAAATCACACGTGGTGAGGAAATGAAGATTAAACAAGCTCATGGATCAACACGTTACGCTTTAGAACATATAGGGAGTGTGAACTCGTGATCCGAAGAACATTCTATACTGCCAAAATGGTCTTTGTTTACTTCACTGGAAGTTTACAACCTGCTGTTATTGTTTGCAGTTAGCTGTGTTTAGTTTTGTTCTGATTCTCAGTACGTGGCCATGCTGCTCCTCAAGTCCCTTTTTGCAGAGATGTGTTAACGTAGTAGCAGGACAGTACAAAGCATGTCCATGCAGAACCTTTACTTACATAATCATTGCATTTGCTTTCAAAGAAGATGACTTACAGAGACAGTCAGGAAACACTGTTTTTGACATAGATTTTGCCAACTTTGTTTCAGCTAGATTTTACTAGCTTTTTATCAAGAAAATTGGGGATCCTTACTATTATTTGAACAATCCTGCTAAAGAAGTGACTAGTTTAGCTGAGTTTTGACAGCTGCACAAGTCAGAACTACTACATGGAGTAGAAAGTAGCAAGATTCAGAAAGTCACATGCCCTATTGTAAGCATATAACTAATTTCATTAAAACCACAGATTGTGAGAGAGACACAAGCTTAAACACTTTGTTCAGCTGTAGCTGTATTTCTACATCTCAAACAAGAAATAGTTCTAGAAAGCAGGTGCAAACTTTAGATCCAGAATTAATCTTGACAAAAACTTGGTAATAGCTCTCTCCAAAGATGTGTCATGCTCCTCAAGTGCCTAGTGGTGTTTAGATGTATGGGTTTCTGTCTACGGTATGTATAGCTAAAGAAAAGAAGCTTCAAAGATAGCTGCAAAGTCTTCTAATTAGAGACATTTCCATTTAAGAGTGAATGAAATGTCTTCATTTTACAAACAAACTTTGCAGCTTATTTTTGCTTACTTCCCTTGCTGCAAGTCCCAAGCAGACTTTTTACCTTTTTCTTGACAGGCCTGTGGAGTAATAGACAACCAGCGGGGACATAACAAGCAATACCAGTTTGCATAAAGGCATAGTTGCCCTGTCTACAGCACTGTTTTGATTGTTGTAAATTGGACTTTTGTTTTTCAAGTGCAAACAAGGTTCATTTTCCTACCCACCAGCTTGTTTGCTGTCTTTTCCAGCCCTGGATGAGTGGTGGTTTTGGAGTGATGGGCTCTTTATGTCTTTCCCCAGGAATCCCTGTCCCCTGGGACACTGAAGAGCAGTAGACAGAAAACAGAAGTTTTTGTCACTCCAGGTCCAGTTGGTCAGGGGTTTGGGGCAACTGGACTTGGGGTGATTAGGTAATCTGTGGAAGTGCTTATGATCCAGGAAGCTGGTTATTTAAGTAGATCTCGAGTGTGCAGATGATGTGCTGACTGACGTTCCCTGCAATGCCCTGAGAACACCGCTGAGCTCATGGCAGCCTTTTTAGAGGAGAGGCACGCAAGGCACGGCATGCTTAGCTACACGTATTAGGATATGGTCCTGTGGTCTTTAACTGATGTCACTTAAATGACAGAACAGTTTGCTATCACATCATGACAAGGCTTGTAAATTAGAAGTGCAAACATTTAAAAGTGCTCATATAAAATGTCAAAATAAAATGTACTGAATGCCCGTCCTGGGACTAATGCCTTAGTCCCAGCACAACAGCAGGCTGAGCACAGTCATCGGGAAGCTGCACCCGCCAGTGCAAACAGCAGAGCTTCGACAGCAAATTCCACCCACTTGCCGATCCACTGCAATTCTTCCATCTATTTTTTTTCCAGGCTGTACCAGCTTGACAAGCACTGCCAGGCCACTGCCCAGCAGCTAGTGGAGTTACTCAACAAACAGAATCAGCTCTTCAAAGAGAAGCAGATGCTTACAGAAGAGGTGCAGTTTCTGCGAACACAGGTACCGTGCCAAAAGAAAAGAAAGTCTTAGGCAAATATTCTGCAGCTTTAAGAGGCAAATCACTTTTCAGCTGTTTCTGTTTGGTTTTTCATTTGTTTTTAATAAGACATTACCTTATAAAACCGGAAATAATTCCACGCAATTGGAGAGAGATGGCAGGGGAAATGGTAGCTGGACCTGAGTCCTGCTTAAACGTAAACTAAAGAAAGAAAGGGTTTTGAAGTGAGACAGTTGAGCAACAGAAGTAACTCATGTTGACAATTCCTAGCTTTCTTATTAGAAGATTTTGTGCTCCTTTTCCAGAGAATATGGAAATCCGTTCCTTAAAAGCATTAACATTTAAGTAGTAGCTTGATGTTGATATTTTCTAAGAGCTTTTTTGACATGTCAGACTTAAGTCCCCCTACCACTTGTGACTTTGTTTCCTTGTTTTTAAATAGCATTTATCATTCATGCTGCTTTATGAACCACTCACCCAAGTGTCGAGGTGGAGAACCTGAAATTAGTCTGCCTGAGCACTAATCACTGCACTGCATCTTTCACAGGACTAACTGTTGCTTCCAGTGGTCTCTAGGAAGCTACACATCCTTATGGGCTGCATTTTCTTTTTCTTTTTCTTTTTTTTTCTTTATTTGGCCACTGTTCTTCAATCAGTCAGCGCTTTGGAATTAAGGGAGAGAACTGATTCGCTGGTTTTCTTCTTTCATTCTTGTTCTCTCTTCCTTCCTTGCCTCTTCTGAAAACTAACAAGTGCAGAATGAGATTTTTCAGTAAACTGTCGAACAATCAAACCCCTATGACTAAAGTGAATTAAAGTAAACCCTATGATTAAAGTAAATTAACTAATTCAACCATATCATGATGTTACCTAACTTATGAATACAGCAAACTAATGAGTTTGCACAGAGTAACTGCAGTTCTGTTAAGGTAACCAAAGAAATTCAGTGAGAAAAATTTTGTCCAGCAGCATATCTAACAGTAAAAGGAAAATGAATGTTTTGAAACTTCAAAATACGTAAATCATGCTATTTTTCATAGGTGTTTTAGCTTTAGGATTTAGTAAATGCCAAGATGCTTAACCTAGGAGAATAAAATCCATACTTTGTTATGCCTTTAATCATGTCAGTATGTTTGGTATTACAGGATTTCCTGTTGTAGTAGGCAAACCTGGAAGTTCAAGATACTGTTAGATTATCCGCATGTAGCAACTACTGGCAAACTTTAGGTCAACCATAGTATTCTTTCTGTAAGATCGTTTAAGAGTGTTTGCTGTTCTGAAAAGAAAACAAAAATTCCTCTGCTTTAAAGGCAGCACATTTTGTAAGGTGACAAGACTTCACACAGTCCGCAGGGATTTAGTTACTGATTATCTATTTTATCTGGAAGCAACTTGACTTATATAAGATTGGGCAGAAATACAGAAATCATACAAAAGGAGGGAAAAAAATCATTTATGTATTATAATGCTATCAAGATTTGACTGTTGAAAACTTCATTTTCTTCATTTATATGCCTCATTAACATTATATGTTCAAGTTAATTGTCCTCCAGAGGATATTTTTTAATTGGAGGATGCTCAGAAAAAAAGAACGATTTTTAAAAATTATTACAAAAAGAATCCTAAGAATTTATTTGCAGCTCTTTAAAGTAACTCTGGTTCTCTGGGAATTGGAATTCAGCCCACAAGAGCTGCCTTGAAAGTCAGACAATTGTGTTAAGAAAATCAAAGATGGGAGATTTTTAACTACACATTGATATATATTGTTACTGTAGAAATACAGAAAACCACAATCAGAATTGCAGACTCAGTATTAATACTATCTTCAAAGGTGAAGGTGACATCATATTACACATTTTACTGTATTATTCAGTAGTTCTCCTTTACAGTCAATTTTTTTTTATGGACACCAATCATACCTAATCCTTCAAAAATTACGTAAAATACACTAACCTAAATTTGCTATTGTATCTTGGAACATAAGCCACCAGTAACTCAGCAGTTGCATATTTCAGGAAAGAAAATGGGATGCAGATCTCAAACAAGCCACAGATGGAATCAAGTAAAAACCTGGATGGATAGAGAAATGAACAGAAGAAGGTATTTTTTCTATATACTATTTATAGAGAGAGGGGAGGGAGAGGAAAGGAGGACTAAAACTATTTGCAGATGTGGGTTGAATCTGGCAAACCCTTCAAGATAAAAAAAAAAAAAAAAGGGGAGAAGAAAGTGTTTGAAACATTTTTGGTTTGAAATTGACTTTTTTTTTTTGTCACTATTTAAAATTTAGAAAAAGCACTCCAAAACAAAGACAGACAGATTTACCTGACAGATTTTCTAAAAATATCTTCCAGATTTAATTTGCAGGAGAAGGGGGGCACCTAGTAAGGTGGGACATTTTAGAAGAATTCCGATTTTACCTTAGGGACTTTTGGGGCTAGGCTAGCTTTTGATTTGGAATCGGTTAAGTTCTGTCACTTCCAATAGTATTTCTGTGCTCAGGAAACTGAAGCTTCTCCAGTTTCCTCAGAAAGTCCACAATTCTAAAATGAATCATAAAAACTTAGTGTCATGTTGAAAGAAACATTATATAAATAATTGTATTTGAGAAGGTGGTGTTGGAAAGACAGTACTGCTGCATAGTACATACCTGTTCCTGTTGCCTTGTGAAAATTCTTTTTTGTTTTTTAATTGTAATTTAAGTCTAAGACTTTAAACTTGTTACATATATTTTAGTGCATTTAGCCTAGAGGAAAAAACACTGAAAAACTGTGTTTTGCATGCCCCCCCACCCCCCCCCAACAAACCCAGGTTATTTCTGTTGCATTTTCTTTCCAATGTTAATATTTGCCATATTTGAGGGGTTAGAGGGGGAAGGCAGGAAAAAAGGAAGAAAGAAGTCTTTAAGTCCTAGTAGGTTCTGGGGTGTTCTGAGAATTTGTTTTTCATGGAAAACTCGTGTGGCAACATAAGGAAAAATTTTGTGTGTGTGTGTGTGTGTTTTTGGTTTTTTTTTTTTTTAAGTGAATGACAAAAAAAAAAGCCTTCATAAAAAATACCTTATCCAGCCACATGTTGAATTCCCTTTCAGCAAGCATGACCTAAAGGCTTTTAGCATCCTTGTTGTAGAAGTAACCAAGACAAGTACCACAATATTGAAAAACATCTTTCTCATTCCCGGAAATGAATTGCATGCTTTTAAAATAACAACGTTAACTCCCCTACTACTGAAAGTACTCAATATTATTTCAGAATAACCATCTGCCTACAAGTTTGGGCTTCAACATCTTAAGTTAAGCATCTTGACTTGGAAAATATTTGTCCCACAGCCAGAGTGTAGCAGAAAGCTCCAATTATCCACTCTCTTCCCCAGCACTAGCACAGCTTTTGTTTAATTATTAATATTTCTCCAGTTCAGGTCCCTCACAGGCTTTAGACATAGCCCCTGAGAAGCACACAAGTGAAATCCTATTTTCCAGCCTAATGTAGTAATGCGTACAACATAATGAAGATGCTCACACTAATTTTCATTTTCATAGAGCTAAAAAGGACCATTACAATAATCTGGCCTGACCTACAGCATATGCCACTGTCAAGTCATCATTGCACTAATATCTAAGAGATGGAATATTTCATAACATATTCTGATCCATTAAAAATGAGCATCTAAAGGTAGTCAAAAGATCAGTTATGGAATTTACACTTCTAATTTTCAGAGTCTTTTTGAAAGAGGCAAGTTTTGCGTTTCAACCCTTGAACGTCTCTTACATTTCAAATTGCGCCAAGTCAGGCGAATGGGAGGTATCTATTCCCCACCCTATATAGCTATTAAATAAGAATATGCGTGATATAGCAAACAAATATTTAAACAGAGATTACTAGAAGCTTCAGTACTGTCCACCTAGTGTGATTAGGTTCCTGAAAGCTGGGATGCTCCTCATTTGCAGGATCTCTCTTGGTGCCCAGCAGTTTTACAGAAATATTTGTCCCAATTTATATAATCCCCTTGCAGGCTCTGCTTGCCGGAAGGGGCTGCTGGCCAGCTGAGGCAGTGAAGGCGCAGACTAGCTGACAGACTACGGACCTTGGGGATTAGCTCCAACTGGGTCTGTCAGCGTATGCCGCTACTGTGCCTCCTCCTGTGAAGACCTCCTCCTGCAAGCTAGCCCGTGTCCTTGGCAGGCATCCGCGCTCTCCCCAGGCTCTCTGTATTGCTGTGCCATTGAAACTGTCTCCTCCCTCCTTACAGATGTCCTATTTTTCAGTAAATCTGTGAACAGACCACTCTTTTTCTGAGCAGAACTTAAAATATACTCACCATTTACTGTATTCCTGTCCTCACTCCTCTAGTTGCTTTAGAGTGGGAGGGCCTGCCAAAGTGACTGTCGTTCCTCAGCTGCGATTCAGTTTCTCTTACCTGCATGAATTTTCCGTGGGTTCCTAGCCACAAATGCTATGCTTGAAGTTCTCCCAAGTGCCCCATTTGTGCTTTTCTTCATTAAATGTTACAGAAAGGTAGCTTTCCGTCCAGAAAATGAGCAGCCATGCCATCTCTGAGGTTAGGTGTGATTCAGGCTAATCCTTAGCAGGCTCTCAACTGTGCTGCAGCAGAGCTGAGGGCTGCTTAGGTTATTTATTGGTGTGGTTCGGTGCAGTCTTAATGCGCAGAAATGATGCTTCTGCCAGGTGTTTTAACTACTAGTGACGTTCCACAGACAGTTATTAAAGCAGGCGAAAAGGAGGACTGACTGACTTTGTTATTCATTAGATGGAGTTTAGTCAGCGGTGATAAGAGTTAAAAATAAACTGTGAGAGGAAGTGATGCAGTTAGAGCTGCGTTTTATATTGGGCTACACTGACCTGAGCGCTTCAGTGCTGCGGCACCCACCACTGAGCTGTGTAGCCGTCGTGGAGCCTGCCATTGTCAGTGGATCCAACTGGGGACTTGGGCACCTAGGCCTGCAGAATGCTTTCTTACCAAACAGAGCAACAGTCTAGTGGTTCCCCTCCTCTCCATTATAAATATGTTTGACAGTGATTAAAACATTCAGATGTCAAAGGTTTTACTACTTACTTACAGAAGCTTTAATCTGCACATATAAGAATAGCCAGCCACAGAGTTAAAACATATTCCATTGAGGGGAGGGGATGCTGGGGTGAACTCCAGCAGTTTGTGCTGCTGAGGTATGCTCACTGAATAGTGAAATATCAGGAGGAAGGGCAACTTTAAGACTGAAAAGGCCTTTGCTTCTGAATATCCAATGACCAGATCATTCAGCAGTTACCTGGACGTTAGGAGTAGCAGATTCAAGTTCCTTTAGTTAGGGAACTGATCCCACTTCTCAGAGGACTGCTTTAGCATCCAGACTATTGTATAGTTGGGCACACTGAGACTTTGCTAGTATTTGTGCTCTGAGGGTTTTTTTTTTTTTTTTTTTAAAAAGCAGATGATGCCCTGCTGTAGTCAGGTGGAGAAATGCCTACTGCATCAATCAAGCTGAGGTTCAGCATCTTGCAAATCATTAACCTTGGGTGACTGTGGTGATAAAAAGACATATAGGCACCCTGGAGGCTTTACCGGTAGAAATATGGTACCAACTGGTTTACATGCATACAAGCAGGGCTAATGAAAAGCTTTTTGCTGCTTTGGCTAGACCTGACAAGAAAGAAAGATGGCAGCTTTTGAGTTAAGAGGCATATATGGCAGTATAAAAGCTCAGGGGTCAAAGGTGTTCTGAAGTGAATGGTACAAAGCGCTACTGCCTGAAAAGGGGACCCTACAAGGAATATGTATCTGTACCTCAGGTTATAGCTGGGCATGTTAGTTTTAGTGTTTGGTGCAGACAGAATCGTGCTAATGTGCTAGGCTGTCCGTGGGACTGCCACAAGCTGCTTGTCGGAGGAGTGGGTTGGCTAGGGGCATTTTAAACCACAACAGCAGCAAATGCCAGGATACTCCTTCAGGAGCTGATATGTCTTTTGCCTTTCAAATCGTCTGTCTGTACTCCAACCCTGTATGCATGGACATCATTAAGGAAACATGAAGTAGGTTTCCTCTGACTCTCACTAACCAGTCCCAGAGACTCAATTTAACCCCCAGGGCCCTCTGTGGACATTTTTTCTCGCACTATGCTGAGGGACTCTCACTGTAGTAGGTAATGATGGGAGATGTTGGTGCATGTTTTTTTGGGGAAGAAGCACCGTGTTACTGTCTTTAATGCATTAATGAACTGCAGCTTCATAAATTCTCCTCAGCCCTGGTTACCTTATATAAACTCAAACAAACAAACAAGCAAACCAACCCTTTAGTCCTCTAATGCAAAACCAGCCAAATTAGAAAGTTTATTTTTAGTTCTGAGGCCATTTACCTCTCTAAATTCAAATTTTAGAACTCCAGTTGCTTAATTCTAGGTAGCTACCCCAGCTCCAGTAGAGCTTAATGTCTCACTCTTAAGTTCTGACGTGCTACTGAGGAAGCACAAACAATAGCTATGCAGGAGCTTAAAAATGGCAAATTAGCCTTCCCACCAGAGGTTTCTTAACAGCACACAGCCAGCTTCCTGTTTTGACACAGCTGCCCACCCTGGCTACAGTCTGCACAGTTCACAGTAAACAGTCTCTGGCACAAACCGGCCTCCTCTTTCCTGGAAAAGAGAAGGGGCAGGATCTTAGACGTGCCCCAAAACAAGAGCTTAGTTATTTACTGCTAAACATGAGCAATGTCTAAAGCTCATGGAGATCTTGTTTTTCAGAAATCAAATAAATAGCTCCTGTTCTTGCTACCTGTGAGATTTCTGATCTTAGGAAGCAGCAAGGGCAGCAGGGCTACAGGAAGTGCAGGCTTTTGCAAGAGCACTTGTTTACCCAGCAGGACCGCTTTCTTAACCATTTATGTCTTTCTTTTCTAAGAACTCACCCACAGGCCAAAGCGACACAGATCATAAATGCAGCACAGCTCTACAGACCACAGACTACTTCAAAACTCATCTTTCTTTATCCTGCAGTTCTCCTCTGTACCGGTCTGAAACTTGGCCTTATTTGAAGCTCATCCAAAACAACATTTGCAGCAGAGAGAGACGCCCTTGCTAACTAACTGCAACTGATTTGTAGTTGATTTTTAACTACAGAATGTAAATATTTTCAAACATTAAAAGCCTACCACACTTTTAAGGAAAGCACCTAATATAAGACTCTTCTGAAAAGGCCAGACTTGCAATCCAGTTTTAACAGCTCTTTCTTACCGTCATAATTTGCACAATTTTTTATAAATACTTTTGTCTATTTTTGTAATAACATTTGTGTATTATTTACTTATGGAAAGCCTAATAAACTTAATTTGATTCTTTTTTTTTTCCTGGCTATTCTTTTTGCATTCAAGGGAATGTGTGCGTGTGGGGTGGGGAGGAGAGGGGCTGTAAGCACAAGTCACACTGGCCTTGTGTTCATAATCTCATTACCAGAATCTACCTGGGAAACTTTATTTGTACATGACATTCATCACTTTTATACAAAAGTGAGAGACTAACAATGATGTAACCATCAGAAAAAAACGCAAGAATGACAGAAATACCTCCAGACTGTGTGGAATAATTTCCATAGGAAGGTTTTCCCTTGAAAATGTTCACTGTATACAGCTTTGGAGACAAAGGAACCCTTAGTGAGGGCTGATACATGAATGAGGTGCCTGGCTGTCATGACTTTTAAGTGATTCTACGACTTTGCCATTTGCAAATATTTATCTATCATCTGTCTCAGGGATGAGCATCAGCTGAACCTGAGTTCAGCTTCAAACTACTGAATTCAAAATATTTTGAGGATTTTTTTTGCCGCTTAACTTCATAATCCTGTTTGGAAAGTAACTCTTAAAAACACTAGACTGTGTCAGAAAGAACACAGCTGGATCTTTTGTTGAATAAGTGTACAGTAAGTATATAAGAAAAAAAGTTCTCCATCTAGTACCCTCAGTGTATCAATCAGACCAGCTGCAGAACTGCACTGGTAAAGCAAAAAAATAATAATAATAATTAATAAAAAAAATAAGGCTACCTTGGCCAGCACGAACACATGAAATGAGAAAGAGTATATGGAACACAAAATAGATTACCATTTATCATAGGACAAAATCTTTCTCTCTCTTGTATTTTAAGAATTAATAGTGGTTCAGCCTTAACATCAAAGTGTTTTTTCCTCCCTTTTTCAATTTCCTGCCATATTAAACTGACAGAGACATCTGAACTCCTCCCCAAACTGCTTCACCCATATGACAATAAACAAACATGCTTAAAATTGCTTCAAGTCTATAGGGAAGAGAAAGCCCAGAGCTTTTGGGGGGGGGTGGGGGGAAGAGACAAACAAACCTCCTTTCTAGCAGAACTATGGTTATTCCACACCAGCCAGGATGACAATTCTAGTCTGTCAATACTTCGTAGATGGTTACACAGCTAACTATAATATACACTTATCAGTGCATACTTACAGAGCACACATACATACGCTTCTGCTGTGCCATGCTCTAATGCTGAAATTCCCTTCACCTGCATAAAGCCACAGTAACAATTTTATATGACATGCCAAGTGGAAGAACTACATGAACCAATGCCACAAGAGAGACGTGTAGGCATCAACAAATGGCTTTTTTTTTTTAATTCTATAGTGTAAAATTGTCTTTAAACAGAAGAAAGGGCCCAGATGCTGAATGCCCAAAGGAACTTAGTCGCTACGGGTTTAGGCTTCAGTGAGATCCTGGAGCTGCTGTGCCACGGTCCCAGTGACAGTAGGCCCTTCAACCTGTCCTGAGCTACCTCACCTACCAGATGGCTTTCACTGGAGCTGCGGGGAGTGCCGTTTGGGGTGCGTGGGTGTTTGTGTGTTTGTGTTCATGATTTCAACGGAACATACTGGGCTCCAGGTATGTGCAACTGGAAGGGCGTTTTCACACTTGGCTCTCCCACATCCCAGGCATAGATTTAATTCGTTACAATTCGTTACATTGCAGGGAATCTAGAAGGACTCGATTTCACCAGAAGCTCTTTTACTTCGTAGCAGTTACTTATTCATTGGGCATAGACAGCACCACATCTTCCCCTAAGTCGCATGTGCTCCCCGTCTACTTTGCCAGAGAATGCATAATTATAGAATTTTTACAAATAACAGATTAGGAGATCAGATCCAGAAAATTCAATGTCCACAACTAGGGCATTATTCTGTGAAGTGATACGTCCCACCCCCCCAACCCTACAGACTGAACACAGTCCTTCCAATGTCGCAGCTGAGTCCTGGGTGCTGATCTGTTACTATACTGCGGATAAAAACCAGACAGCTAACTGCATTAGGGATGCTTTGCCCTCCTGACTGGCTAGTTTAAAGAGGCCTGGCCAAGCTTGCAGGCTCCACTGGCCCGCTCCTAGGTGCCACTAACCCCACCTTCCCATCTTTTCCTTCTTCCTCTAGTACATTATCTAGCTATGGGATTTGAGGCAATGAATTTCACTAGAAGAGAAATCACTTAAATGCTAGGTGTGACAAAAGGAATGTGGCCCTGTGTAATCATTACTTGAAAAGAATAACCCAAATTTACTTTAAAAGTTAAAAGCTCTAAGAAAGAGACGTGTATGTTAACGGAAACCACCTGTATGGAAATACGCTTGGTCCAAACCATCGATACATCTTGCTTAGTCGTAAGAACTATTTTTGAACAATACTGTAACTTAATAACTTACAAACTGAAATAGATCACCTACTACTTGAAACATGTCACAGCAAGTTGCAGTTATCACTAGGACTTCACAGCAAATTAAAATTCTAACTAAACATGCACAGATCATTATGTATACAGTGATAAAAAATAATGATGTACATTTCCTTATACGAAGAAATTAAGCTATTCTTTTTTGCATTTCAGTATTGAAGCATCTAACCTATATAAAATTATTTCAAGATACAAAGTAAATATTTAACCCCAAACTTAAGAAATCTTCTGTAATCTGCAATATCACCTTCTCATTTTAGTTTTCCTTTCTCTCACGTGGAAGAAATTAAGAATTTTATTCTCTACATATTTAATAGTAATGTTCATATATAAAAAAATACGTCCTTTGTGGCAAGCTTGAACGTACATATAATATATATATATATGTGTATATTTACAAACCTTCAGAACAAAATTAGCATTAAAAAACACAGAAGTAGCAGATTGACATAGTGCTTTATTTAAGCTGTCTGTACGAAGGAAAATAATGTGCATCCCTATCATATACGTGTAAAAATACTAAGGATGTACAGTGTACAAAAACAGTTTCTTGTAGTTATTTCACATCCTTGTGGGTCATATACTTAAGGAAATAAACAGTTTAAGTATGACCAACAGTAATACGGTTTCTTGGGTTCATAGTCGTGTCTGCTTGATATCCTTAACCATATGACTAGATCTTGCATGGATCTAATGAAAGAACTAGCAAGGTCAAGAAATGTCACAAACTCTAAAGCTACAGGGAGGTAATTCAATTACCAATTTAGAGGTTTTTATTTAAATAAATACTTTACATTTCATGCTTGCCTGTAATGCACTACCAGGAGCAAGATAAGGAAATTCTACTGTAGACAGTACAAACAGTAGCAGCAAAGTGTGTACATTGAGGTGTAATATATAGACCCTGCAGTTAGTAAGGAAAAGACCTTACTTTTGTACTCTAGGAGAAGCACATGGCCCCTGCAAGAACAGTCAGCTTTAAGAAGCCGCAAATAAAGATGGAAAAAACGTAAAACAATACTGGAATAAATGTTCCTTAAGCAACAGGAATGTACTGGAAGATGGATTAGTGTGGAAAGCAAAGCTGTGTGCAAAACTGCCAAAATCCAAACAGAAATGACCTATTTCCTCAGAGATGGCTGCAGTACAAGAGGGCATACTGTACGTCATGGAAGTCAGTACAAGCTGGAGTCAAAGCCTGAAATGTACTGTGCTTCAAAGGCTCGGGGGAACCAGCCACCAGGTACTGTCCAAATCCAGCTAGAATTGGGAACAGTAAAGAAGAGCTTCAGAGGTTTCTCTCAGCACAGCTTGACAATTTCTCTCTCATCTGTTTCTAACACTGGTGACAGAGATAAGAATTTCCCAACTCCAGGCAGCATTAAGTGAATGTTAACTCTCTCCGTAACATCAACGATATTTTGGAAGGCAGATAATACCACGCAAAGTGAAGTCTTAAAAGGTTTTCAAATAATTCACCCACAGTCATTTAATGCCAGCTGCATTCTAACTAGCTATGCAGTAACGATCTAACCACAGGGTTTCTTCTGCACACGAGGAACTGCTGGCCAGAGGCACAACTCCAGTTGGTCATTAGCTTTAGGTGCCCTGTGTCCAAAAATTTATTGCTATTACAGGCTGAAAACATAGGAAAAAAACCACAGGCATATAACATAGATTTTTGAATCACGGTAGTTTTAGTCTGTACGTATGAGGCCTTTTCAGAGAACTAAATAATGCCCGTCTATTAAGTAATCAGTTATTTCGGTCACTCGCTGTATCGGTGTAGACAGTTCCACACGAACAGTGCAGAACAGACCTCCAATGCATTTGCTGTGCTCCTTTTCCTCTCTGTAGAGGAGTAATCCCTACATGTGAGCGTTTAGTGTTACAAGGTGACAGAATGAGATCCTACGTAGTTAGAATATACATCATGATATATTTCTGACTGATTATCCATCCATTATTAAAGGTAAAACACAACACACAAGAAATTGTCTAAATTAGTCTGCGTCTTTAGCTGCCTTGCTATAATGCCCACCTACCCCTCGACTGTCCCAGCATATGCACTGCCAGCAGTGGCGTTCATGCTAGGGTACTAAACTTTCAACTTCAAGAGGCTAAGGCATCTGCGTATGAACATTTCTCCTTTCAGACTCATCTACTCATTCATACAATGCAATCAATAATACTCTGTGATATCACAGTCTTTGTGGGAGCTAACAAGATACGAACACGGAGACACTTCAAATGATAATCCCATGGAGTCGGGGGTTTCCAATGTCATTAGCAAGGGCACACGCACACCATGACTGCACGGACTGGCAGCTGCTTCAACAGCCCAACTCCTAGCACCAAAAGGTTTATTATTAAGATTATCATTGCTGAAGATCAAAGCTAAAGTTTATGCACACATTCTGTTAGATACAGATCTTCGGAAATGGAAAGACAACATTTTCCTATCAATCAGTGGAGTGCTGCTCATGCTGTTTTAAATTCAATCAGGTACCACAGTTACACATAACATGCTGGATTTCATGACTTATTTGGTTGAGGGCAATCTTTCCTTGAGAATGGCTGATCCTAGACATTTACTATTTTAATTATTATAATAAAGTGCTTTTCTTGTAATCACTGTGGTCTCATTGTTCAAATGTATTTCTTACAGGACTGAAAATTTCTATTGTGCTGTCAGGCTTTTGTATTATGTTAATCCTCAATGGAGTAAAAGATGTAGCTTTTTTCTTTTCTTTCTTTTTTTTTTTTTCTTTTAACCCTTTGGCACATGAAGTTGAAATTTCTCATCTCCGTTGCCAAAGGATCAAAAGACAGTACTTCATTCACAAAAATCTGATTCTAAGCAATATGTACAATTTCAGAGCCTTGTTAAAATTTCCACATGGGAGAAAAGTGCATTATTCCCTTCAGCTTGTACAGTCCTTCCATATATTACAAAATTAACTGCTATAAGCCTGTTCTATCTAAGATGTAGCAGCATTTGCAAACATGACACATACAATCCTTATCACTAAAAATAAATACTACTGCCGTATAACAAAAAAAAAAAAAAAAGAATATTCAGAGTTAAACACCCGGAGAAAAAGCTAATTCACAAACTCAAAATAAAAACATAAGGCAAACACTCGTTTACCTTGGTGCACACATTTTGGTGAAAAGCAATACCATTATGCCTGTCTACATTCTTCAGCCATCAGAGGTGATGTATATCATGAAAGA